CCCGCCACAACGCCCGGCTATTTTTTGGTTGCAGCTGTCATTGTTTGGCGGGCCCGGGCTGGATTGGAACCCTCCACCTTAGGTGTATGTGGCTGGCGGCTTAGCTACTTGAGCCACAGGCGCAGAGCCACATATATCAAATATAAATGTATTTCCTCAGAGATTATTTTGTTGAGGAAAGTAAACTACTCACACTGGAAAGGTTATTCCATCTGTCCTTTATTCTGTCAGTTTCCGTTTTGTATATTTGAAGCTGTTTTATTAGAAACAGTTGTGTTTCTATTTTTATTTTTTTACTTTTTTTGAGACAGAGTCTCAGTATGCCATGGCGTCACAGCTCAGCAAACTCCAACTCTTGGGCTTAAACGATTCTCTTGCCTCAAGCCTCCCTAGTAGCTGGGACCACAGGCACCTGTCACAATGCCCGGTTATTTTTTGTTTGTTGCAGTTGTCATTGTCCTTTCGCTGGTCTGGGCCGGGTTTGAACGTGCCAGCCTCCATGTATGAGCTAGGGGCGCTGCCCTATTTGTGTTTTTAATAATAAATACAACTAAGTAGCTTAAGAGAAAGATATAACAATTAAAACTTCCCCTAACAATTTATGAAAGAACTCATTTTCATAAATGCTTTACAGCACTGGATATTATTGCTTTTATATAGTTTAATAATTCTGAGTGAAAATCATAGCTAATTGCTCTGAAACATCCTATTAGTAAAGTTGGCCCCGTCTTCATTAATGGTTATTTGTTTCTTTTATGTGAATTTTCATATCATTTTTATTTTTATTTTTTATTTTTTGGCCCAGGCCAGGTTTGAACCTGCCACCTCCGGTATATGAGGCCGGTGCCCTACTCCTTTGAGCCACAGGTGCCACCCTTCATATCATTTTTAAAGATTTTTTTTCTTTTTCTTTTTTGTTGAGACGGAGTCTCACTATGTTGCCCTCCGTAGAGTGCTGTGCCATCACAGCCCACAGCAACCTCAAACTCTTGAGCTCAAACGATTCTCTTCCCTCAACCTCCCAAGTAGCTGGAACTACAGGCACCCACCACGATGCCCTGCTATTTTTTGTTGCGGTTGTCATTGTTGATTCACTAGCTCGAGCTGGGTTTGAACCCACCAACTTCTGTGTGTGTGGCTGGTACCCTAATGACTGTGCTATGGGCACCGAGCCTTTTTTTGCCTTTTCTTAGCAATTTCTAGACTTGTTAGAAGCAACGTATCATCACATAGTAAAAAAATTTTATGTGTGTGTGTGTGCATATATATATATATATATTTTTTTTTTTTTTTTTCTTTAGACGGAGTCTCACTTTGTTACCCCTGGTAGAGTGCTGTGGCATAATGCTCACAGCAACCTAAGACTCCAGGGCTCAAGCAGTTCCTTGCCTCAGCCTCCCAAGTAGCTGGGACTACAGGCACCCACCACAACACCTAGCTGTTTCTAGAGGCAGGGTCTCCTTCTGGCTCAGGCTGGTCTCAACTTGCCAGCTCAGGCGATCAGCCTGCCTTGGCCTCCCAGAGTGCTAGGATTATGGGTGTGAGCCACCAAACTAGGCCTAAATTATATATATATATTTTCATGCTAAATTTAATGGTGTATTTTAATGAATAACTAGGAAATATCATGTAATCAGAAATATTTGTTTTTTCTGATAGCAGTTCTCAACCTGTGGGTCATGACTCTTTGTAATAATGAAAATACATCCTGCATATCAGATGTTTACATTATGATTCATAACAGTAGCAACATTACAGTTATGAAGTAGCAATGAAAATAATTTTATGGTTGGGGTCACCACAATATGAGGCACTGTATTAAAGGGTCATGGCATTAGGAGGCATTAGGAAGGTTGAGAACCACTGTGATAGGGCGTCTGGGGTCCTTGTCATGGGTAATAAGATCTTTCCTACCCTATCACAATGTTATATAAACTCCTAAAAATTATTTTAATAGCTTTTGGTAGCTCAGTGCTTGTAGCTCAGAGGCTAAGGTGCCAGCCACATACACTGGAGCTGGCGGGTTCAAATTCAGCATGGGCCTGACAAACAACGACAACTACAACCAAAAAATAACCGGACGTTGTGGCAGATGCCTATAGTCCCAGCTACTTGGGAGGCTGAGGCAAGAGAATCACTTAAGCCCAAGAATTTGAGGTTGCTGCGAGCTGTGATGCTACAGCACTCTATCCAGAGTGACCCCTTGAGACTCTGTCTCAAAAAAAAAAAAAAAACAATAGTTTTTGGTGAGGGAGATTTAGTTTCCCTTGTTTCAGGTGGATGGCCATTTACATCAGGGCCATTTATGGAATGAATGTCTTGTGCACACTTAATTGAATACCACTTTTGTCACATATATAGATCAGTATTATTTTCTGGCATATTTATTATTTTACCTGTTAAATAACTTAGGGGACCTAGAAAAATAGACTCGGACCTCCACTTAGGTTAATTAATTGGTAATTTATTTTATCTGCTGCAGGGGCTGCTGCTCTGAGAGACAGTCAGCAGCCCAGGTGTGAGGGTGCGTTGTCTTTCATAGGCTTTGTGCAAGCATATTATAGAAGCAAAACATGGCTGGTTAAGGGGGGGTTACAACTTGGGTAGTCATGGATACAGCAATGGAACAATAATTAATACAGTTGACAATGGATACATCTCATATCACAATGGTTATGGTTATACAACAGTAATTAATCAAGTCTCAGTGAGTTTTTCACCATTGTTCATCTACTGAGAACTTGGGGGTTTTGTGAAACTTGGGACTTTTCTTCCTTGTACCTGAAGCTTGTTCTTGGCAACCCTAGGAGAAGGAGGGGGCCTGGGAATGTGGCTGGGAAGCACTGCTCTCAGCCACCATGGGGGAAGGAGGGACTTGCCTTGTTCCGAAGTTGACTCTGGGGGGAGAAGGGAGGAGGAGGGAAATAGGCTGGAGGGGGAGACAGGTGAGGGCTGGGGGACAGGAGTGGGCAGGGGAAAGAGGGCTGGGTTACAACAACCTGTTTTGATTACATTGCTTTTATATTAAGGTTTAATATCTGACAGAACATGGTAATTGCTGATACTTATTGTATAATTCTCATGTGCCAGAGAGGTGTGGAGTAATTTATAAGAATCATATCATTTGATTTTTATTAACTATGAGGTAGGCATTTTATCGTTATCTCTATAACTAAAACTGAAGTAATTTCTTTTTTTTTTTTTTTTGGCTGGGGCTGGGTTTGAACCCACCACCTCCTGTATGTGGGGCCAGCGCCCTACTTGTTGAGCCACAGGCACCGCTCAAAATTGAAGTAATTTCTTTCTTTTTTTTTTTTTTTAGAGACATAGTCTCACTTTATTGCCCACAATAGAATGCTGTGACATTGCAGCTCACAACAACCTCCAACTCCTGGGCTTAGGTGATTCTCTTGCCTCAGCCTCTGAGTAGCTGGGACTACAGGTGCCTGCCACAACACCAGGCTAATTTTTTTGCTACAGTTTGACCAGGGTCAGGTTTGAACTCGCTATCCTTGGTATAAGGGGCCAGTGCCCTACCCACTGGGCCACAGGCGCTGCCTTAAACTGAAGTAATTTCTTCATAGTGGAAAGGTAACACAGTTGCAAGTCAAATCAGCAGAATTGTTACTTCTGATTTCATGGTCTTTCCCATATTTCACCATGATTAATAAGTACCATATTTTATTGAGCTTTATATGCTCCACAGCACTGGTTCTCAAAGTGCGGTCCCTAGACCAACAACATCACCATTACTGGGCAGAGTAAAAGTGAAAATTCTTGGACCCTACCATAGACTGAATCAGAAACTGGGGTGGTGAGGTTGAGAAGTTTTAACTAGATTTTAACAAGCCCTCAATGTGATTTGAATACATACCCAAGTTTGAGAATCATTGCTCTGGTTTCTTGCTCAGGGACCTATACTTGGTATATCTAGGAAGTGTTTATGTGGTAAATGTTGATTAACTGATATGTGGACATTGTCTTTCCAGGTTTCTTAGTGTCTCTGGGGAGCCCCGGACCCCAATCTTCCTTCAGAATCCAGCCCACCTCTTCCTGGAAGCTCTGCTTGAGTTCACAGATAACTACTAAGCCTCAAGTTCCCTAGAGAACAATGGTTGAGACCCAGTTGGCCATGCTAGCTAGTTGGACCTCACCCCAGAGATCCCCAGCCCTGGCTCCAGAGGATCAGGGAAGCTCGTACAAGGTAAGGAGGTTGAGTCCCAGGAATGAGAATTCATCCCAGTAGTAGATATCTCTGAGCTGTCACCAGAACCTCTGAGCAGAAGCAGATGGGCCACAGGAAACAGCCGGATGCTAGACCTGCTGCTCCTGAAACAAAATCTTGATTTTCCTGTCAAGAATGAGAAACACATGGGTAATAATTATGCTTCCATCTCTAGAGGCCAGTTGTATGACAGGAGATGGACTGTTAAGGAAACCTGTTGTTTATATTGTCATCAGAGTATATACATATACATTTGTTTGTTTGTTTGTTTGTTTCTTTTTTTGAGACAGAGTCTCAAGCTGTCACCCTGGGTAGAGTACAGTAGTATCATAGCTCACAGCAAACTTCCAACTCTTGGGCTCAAGCAATTCTCTTGCCTCTGTTTTTCTATTTTTAGTAGAGATAAGGTCTCATTTTTGCTCAGGCTGGGTAATCACACTATATTGATCTTTTAGCTGCAGATAGAATTCCTAGTTAGAAGGTTTTTTTTTGGCCAGTTTGAACCCACCACCTCCAATATATGGGGCCAGTGCCCTACTCCTAGAGCCACAGGCGGAGCCCAGAGTTACTTTGGATAGGATTTTAAAAATATTTTTCCATTTCTTCCTACAATGGTTCCCCCACACAACAAATATTTTCTCTATTTTTTTTTAAACTTCTGTTTTTCATATGTTGGTTCTCTATTTTATTTTTTTTTTTTTGCAGTTTTTGACCAGGGCTAGGTTTGAACCCACCACCTCCAGCATATGGGGCTGGCGCCCTACTCCTTTCAGCCACAGGCGCCACCCGGTTCTCCATTTTTATCCTCTACTATTTTATATTTCTTTCTTGCTCTCCTTTCTGGGAAATTTTATCTCCTTATTCTCTATCCCTTCTATTGAGATTCTCATTAACACTATCAAAATTTTAGTTCAGTTTTTAAAAACTCTAAATAGTCTTTATCAGCATCCTATTCTTTTTTCCAGGGTATAATATTATTTCTTATCCCTTTGAAAATACTGTGATAGTTTATTGGGAATAGTTTGATTTCTTGAATAGACAATATATATATACTTAGTTCAAAAATTAGAAAAACATAAAAAGTAACACATTGGGCTCGGTGCCTATAGCTCAACCGGCTAAGGCGCCAGCCAC